GCTCATTTTTCATGTTTTGCATAATTGCATGATTAAACACATGATCACTTTGGTTCGATTGGCTACCCCGACTCATCAACCAATCTGTTTCAGTTTTATCACCATCTCAACTCAAATGTTTGATTACTCTTAATTCGATCACTCTCCTGACTCGATCGTCTAATCACTTTAGTTCGATCAGCCGCCCCGACTCACGACCATTCTCTTTTGGTTCGATCTCCACCCCAGCCACTGAACTCATGAATGAATATCGATTTGATTGGTTAATGTTTTGTTAGTTCGATCGATTCATTAAACACGTTTTGTCAGCTCGATCGATCAACCACCACTAACCTGATCAGTTTGTCTGACTTTTCTATCGCTTCAACCAATCAGCCACCATCGACCTAATCGACTTGATCAACCATTTTTTGTCAACTCGTTCAACCAATTGATCGCCACCATTTTGATTGGTCCATCCTTCGATTGATCGGCCTCCATCGGCCTAATCGTATCGATCAACCACTTCCATCAATTTGATTGACCGGTCGCCACCAACCCGATCGTATCGATGAACCATCCTTGATCGATCAACCGCCCAAGCCGACTCGCTCGACCATCTTCAATATATTTGATTGATCAGCCGCAACCAGCCTGATTCAATCAATCGACCATCCTTCTTTGATCAACCAACCACGCCGACTTGATCGACTGTCTTTGATCTATTCGATTGATTGACCACCACTGACCCGATCATATCGATCGACCATACTTCATCAATCGGCCGCCCACATCAGCCCGATCGACCATCTTCAGTTTATAAGATTGATCGACCACCATCGACCCAATCGTATCGATTGACCATCCTTCAACGATCAGTCATCCAGACCAACCCCATTGATCGTCTTCTATTTATACAATCGGTAAATCACCACTGGCTAGACCGTATCGATCAATCATCTCTCATTGATCAGCCACCCTCGCCAACTCAATCGACCGACTTCTCTCTATTCAATTGATCGACCGCGACGGACTCGATTGCATCAATCAGCCATCTCTTATCAATTGGCTGCCCACATCGACGCGATCGAACATCTTAGCTATATTTGATCGATCGGCCGCCACTAGCCCAATCGTATTGATAGACCATCTCTCGTCGATCGGTCGCCCACACGGGCTTGATCGACCACCTCTGTCGCTTTGACTGATCGGTTGTCATTGACTAGATCAAATCGACTGAATTCACTTGAGTGTCACATTATTGTACGACTATCTCATACTGCTTCCATGAGCACATTTACACCACACACATTTGTGTTTTCGAGAACCACACTGTTTAGAAAAACACACAAAAAAGAAGAAAAAAGAAAAAGAAAAACATGCCAACAAAGAACTCATAATAAGTGGCGGTGTATCTTTGGAGATACACCACACATGTCAAAAAGAAAATACTAACTAAAAAATCAAAAAATATCTAAATTTTATGTCTCACAACATGAAGACAAGTAGAATGAAAGTTATGTTAATCAACTCAAATACCCAAGTGTTCAAAAACTAGATTTCCCCTTTTTTATTTTTCTTAATTTTTAAATAAGTAACTTCTAATAAAAATAGTGAACTTCAATCCTAAAAAATGAGATTGAAATTATCATAATCCAAGACTATAAAATGGAATTGAGGTTTAAAAATATAATTTGAGATTTGGATAGATTGAATTTTATAGGTTTAAGTATCATTAGGATATGCTCTTTGACAATGGTGATATGGCACTAAAGATTATCTAAATGAGTTAGTGAAGATCTACACAAATAAGACTTATCATAAATGAAAATCTTGAAAAGTTGTTCATATATGAAGACATTAAAGCATAATGTTGATCGCTTAAACTAAGCTCCATTATTTTCTAAGTTTTTCACTTTCTTAAGAGGTGTAAGTCATATGACGAAAAGAATGAATGTCATATTATAATGTTATTATGTCGTCTATTTTCTACAAGGTGTACATCTAACATACTTTTCAACAAAAGAATATATATAAAGATTGTCAAATGCATTGCTTCTAGCATTAATTCTAAACCTATTAATGTTAGTGCTTGGCCTTATTTGGCTTCATAATCAACTCAAGTTTAATTACTTCATACAATCTTATTTATTTGAAGAAGCAAATATAAACTTGATGCTATTGAAGATAATAAATATTTAGTTGCAAAGAAACCGAGCAATTGATAAGGTACTCATGATTTGGCTTGATTAGAGCTCCTTCATGATCGTTCAATTAACAAATCAAACAAACTTGAGTAGTTCATTTCTCGATTCATTTAGAACCAGGCACATTAATATTAAACAACAATAAATAAGCTTGCTAGGAAGCTCAACTAATATATATATATATATATATATATATATATAATATGTGTATCTATGTATGTATGTATATATGTATATAGATGTATATATGTGTATCTATGTATGTATGTATATATGTATATAGATGTATATATGTGTATCTATGTATGTATGTATATATGTATATAGATGTATATATGTGTATCTATGTATGTATGTATATATGTATATAGATGTATATATGTGTATCTATGTATGTATGTATATATGTATATAGATGTATATATGTGTATCTATGTATGTATGTATATATGTATATAGATGTATATATGTGTATCTATGTATGTATGTATATATGTATATAGATGTATATATGTGTATCTATGTATGTATGTATATATGTATATAGATGTATATATGTGTATCTATGTATGTATGTATATATGTATATAGATGTATTGTATATCTATGTATATATCTATATATGTATATCTATGTATGTATCTATATATGTATATAGATGTATATATGTATGTCTATATGTATGTATGTATGTATGTATGTATGTATGTATGTATGTATGTATGTATGTATTTATATCTATGTATGTATATATGTACATAGATATAGATATGTATATCTATGTATGTATATATGTACATAGATATAGATATGTATATCTATGTATGTATATATGTACATAGATATAGATATGTATATCTATGTATGTATATATGTACATAGATATAGATATGTATATCTATGTATGTATATATGTACATAGATATAGATATGTATATCTATGTATGTATATATATACATACATATACATATATCTATGTATGTATATATATATATAGATACATATACATATATCTATGTATGTATATATATAGATACATATACATATATCTATGTATCTATACATACATATATATATCTATATACAATACATATATATACATATACATATATACATATATACATCTATACATCTATACATATATACATCTATACAGATATACATATACATGTATACAGATATACATATATACATCTATACATCTATACATATATACATCTATACATCTATACATATATACATATATATACATGTATACATATACATATATACATGTATACATATACATATATACATGTATACATATACATATATACATGTATACATATACATATATACATCTATACATATACATATATACATGTATACATATACATATATACATGTATACATATACATATATACATGTATACATATACATATATACATGTATACATATACATATATACATGTATACATATACATATATACATGTATACATATACATATATACATGTATACATATACATATATACATGTATACATATACATATATACATGTATACATATACATATTAAATACATTTAAAAAATAAAATATATAAATATAAGAAAATATATAATAACTTTATCTATTTTAGTATATGACGCCACAATTCCAAGTTCGAACAGCCCAATTCCCCTTCCATCATTTACATAATTTTTTAATTCTACATTATTGGAGAGAGTTAGGGTCCGTTTGGGACAGCTTATTTGGTGCGGTGGCGTTTCGAAAATACACCTAGTCTGTTTGGATAAACTGTGTTTTCAAAACGCAAAAAACAGTATTTTCACACCGCACCTAGATAGGTGCGGTGGGAGCTTATTGACAACGGTCTGACTTTCCCAAAAAAAAAAAAAATTGTCAGCAGGTTATTTTTAATCAGCTTATTAGCAAATTATTCAATAAGCTACAGCTGCCCCAAACAAACCCTTAATATTGTCCACTTTAAATAAAAAAAAGAGCTCCTTATGCTCCAAAGCCAATTTTTCAACTATTTGAGATTTTTTAAATATTTTATTAAACTTTTAAAATCAAAATATTTTAATCTACAATGAATGAACAAAGCTAGTTAATGATTGATAATTCTCCCCTATATTTTCAAATAAAGTATTATTTTAAAGCTCGTTAATTATAAAATAAATTAAAATTAAGCCGAGCTCAGTTAAGCTTAACTGCCATCGTTAGGGTTGTAATGAACCAATGCACATGATGAATAAGGAACTTGACTCAATTAATACTTGACCAAGTTTTTTGAATTCAATAAATAAACAAATTTGAACATTTTTTTAATAAATGAACTAAGTTTGAATATAATTAATGTTCATGAATAAGCTCGATTACTATTTAACAACTTATTAAATTTTCTATATATAAATGATATATATTTTTTTATAATAAATGATTAACTAAAATCGTTTTAATAATAAGTTTAATAATAACATATTATAATCTAACATCAATCTATAATACTAGTTGTAATTAATTTGAAATTTATTAAATAGATTATTTATTTAGGTTTGTAAAATTATTTATTAATTTCATCATGTTTAGTATATCATAATACAAATTATATTAAGATAAATTTTAATATTATCAAATTTATTTTAAATTATTGCAATAAAAATTATTAATGTCCAACACCAATTAAAATATATATTCAATGATAATATCTAGATAAATATTTCCCATCCCCAATGTCTCCATAAACGGCTGTCAGAATCATCAAATGGACCACATGAACCCACATAATGCATCTTCCAATAATCTCAGATTAGAACTAAACCATCAAAAATTAACAAAAACAGCGCCACTAATTAAAAGATTAACAATAGCCCCAACACAAACTAAACATTGCCTCCCAAAATATATAATTATACATTTTCGTACACAACATAAAGTTCATGCCCCCCACTTAATTACTTCATAGCCTGATAAGTGCAGAGATATTTGCTCCGTTAACACGTGCCAAGCACGTGATATCCCTCCTAAAAGACGCCCTACTCCTGGGCCCCACCCTTCACAAATAGCCAAATTACCAAAAAAAAAAAACACCCTTTATTTACACATTTCTTACCGTTTTTTGTTTTTTTGCATCAACAACCGACAATTATTTGCATTTAATAATCACAACGGCTGGATCCTCGAGACCACGATAGGGCTACGCACCTCGTGCATCCCATCGGACCACGTTAAATAGCCATAATCCACCCCCGACCTTGGACCGGAAACAGCCGCCGCCGTAACCGTAACCGTTACGGCGAAGCTCTGCTTCGTCACCGCCGGCGAGAAAACTAGCTTTCCTGGCTTAATGCTAACGGCTAACCCCTTACCGCTAACCATATCTACCTTTGCACGATAAACTCCAACCCCCGCCGACCCGACGTTCGTAACCTTCCTCACCACCGTCTTGCTCTGGTTCACCGCCGCCGCGCCTTCGAAAACGACGGTGATCGATGGATAGTTGAGGTTTTCCGGCAACGGACGCTTCGCTGGGCAGGTTGCCGGGGAGTGAGTGATGATCTGAATCATCTTGGGTTCGTACTCCAAGGCGCAGAGGAAGGAGATGTAATCACCTTCGTCCATGTCGTACACCAATCCCGGATCCATGGCTTTGTAAAGATTGAGATGACCGGCACCAAACCCTAATGGCGTCACAGGCTCGCCGGTCCCCTCGTCGGTCACCGGACGAAGAGTATTGTCCACGATATTAGACGTCGTCATCATCGCCGATCTGATGGCAGCCGGAGTCCATGAAGGATGTGCGGATTTGAGAAGCGCAGCCGCACCGCTCACATGAGGGGCCGCCATTGAAGTACCGGAAAGAATATTGAACTCGGTTTTCCGGTGATCGGAGTCTAGTCCGGTAGGGCCAACGGCATCGGTCCATGCGGCGAGTATGTTAACTCCTGGAGCGATGAGGTCGGGCTTGAGGATCTCTGGAGTGAGACCGTTGGGTCCGCGGCCGGAGAAGGAAGCGACGACGGGAGCCGGCTTCACTCCGATAATGGTTCCACGGAAAGCGAGGGTAGCGGTAGGGTTAGGGTTTGCGGCAATGTAAGATTTCACGGAATCGCCTTCGTCGGAGCCAACGGCGCAAGCAGGGAGTACGTGGGCGTCGCCGACGAGTCCTTCGCCGTTCGAGATACCGTTTGCGAGTATCATTCCGACGCCGCCAGCTTGTTTCACGACGAGGCCCTTCGCGACTCGCGGACTGCTTCCACGATCGCACACGACGATAGTCCCCTTCACGAGCTTCGGATCGAGGGAGTTCTCCATGCAGAGGGAGGCTGGTAGACCGCCGGATTTTCCAGGGTAGACTAATGGGTACATTTGGCCGTCGATGGTTGGACCGGAGTAAAGGGAAACCCCGGCGAGTCGACGGCGGTCTCCAAGAACGATGTCGGCAGGGAAAGTACGATCGATCGTGCTAGCACCTACAGTGGTGAGCCAGGGGGCGAGGTTAGTAACAGACATGGCGGTCGGACCATCGTTGCCCGCGGAGGAGGCGACGAATACACCCCTTGAAACGGCACCGAAGGCCCCGATGGCGATCGGGTCGAGGTAGTACGGTGAAGATATTCCATCTCCGCCTCCGATAGAGATAGAGATGACATCAACGCCATCAGCCACAGCGCTGTCGAACCCGGCAAGAATATCGGAATCCAAACAACCGGAGCCCTTCCAGCACACCTTATAAACCGCGATGCGAGCTTTTGGAGCGACGCCTTTAGCGATACCGGAGGCATAGCCCGACAGACTAGCGCCGAAAACATGGCGACCGGCGGCCGTCGAAGCGGTGTGGGTTCCATGCCCATCGGCGTCCCGTGGAGACCTGAACTCAAAAGTTTCGTTGATTCCACCGATACCGCCTGCAGCTGAAGAAAAGGCATCATGTCCATGGGAGAAGAATCGAGCACCAACGAGCTTGCGGTTGCAGATCGAGAGAGGGAAATTTGGTCCAGTTTCACAGGTGCCACGCCATCTGGAGGGAACAGGGCCGATATTGTGATCCGAGAAGGATCGGCGCTCAGGCCAAACTCCTGTGTCGAGGATGCCGACGATGACGTCGGAACCGTAATCGGAATCGGACCAGAGGCCTTGCTGGTTACGGAGGCCAAGAAATTGTGGAGACCTAGTGGTGTGGAGATGGCGAAGGCGGTCTTCAAAGACGGCTAGGACGGCGGGGTGGCTGGAAAGTGCGGCGGCACGAGCGGCGGTGAGGGAAGCGGAAAAGCCATGGAAAATGGTGGAGTAAATGTGGATGAAGGGAGCGGAGACGGAGAAAGATGGGGAGGAATACCAGTGCTCGTGCGTGGGGAAAATGGAGGGTTTCTTCAGATGGTTGATGCAGAAGATGTAGGTCTTCTTATCCGCAGCGTCAGCTGCAGTGGCAGATAGGGTTAGGGTTTGGAAGAGGAGGAAGAGGAGGAAGAGGAGGAAGAGGAGGAGAGGGTTGGAGGAGGCGGCCATGGTTGAAGTGTAGTGGAGTGAGGAGTGTAGAGCTTGAGAATTTATATCTGAAGGCAGGGTTTTAGCTTGACAACAGCTTAGCTCTTGCGAGGAGATTATTTAATTAAATATATGCGATAGTTATTTATTGAGAATTAAAAATAGGTAATCATCCCTTCAAAGTATTACTATTTACTCAGGTCAACTATTTTTCTTTTTTTACCTATCAAATTCATATATTTACATATGTTCGTTAAATTATAACGTGATAAAATAATCTATATCTATGAGAATAATTATTTTATAAATAACGCTAACAAATTTTCGTCATTCCCGAGATGATTTTTTGAATAATAAACTTTCAAATCTTAATAAAAGTTCATTAGAGCTCTGATTTCAACAAAATTATAGTCAAACTAATCGGCTCAATGACACAGACATAATGATATAAAAACAAGTTTAATTTGAGTCAAACCAAACTCATATCAAGTCATTAAACCACTCTTACAAGATTTTCAGACACATTTGGAATGTCAAACAAATGGTGACACTAGCAAGTTTATTCTCGAATCGAGCGTCTCGACAAGAAAAATTCAACAAGCCCAAAATCACTCAATTACGACATCATTAAGACACTCTAACGTTCATTAAATGTCACTTGACTGAGGGAAACTCTGGATCATCCGATCAAAATGGTTAATATTATTGCATTAATTGCATCCAAAACACTATAAATACACTCCCACCCCTCACATGAGGGGAGGGAAGCCAGAGAGAGAGCTTAAGACATTGAGGAGAAACTGCAGCTCAGCATCACAGTCGATCGTCATAGACCAACATCAACCTCCGTCGTCGACCACCGCCGACCACCGTCGTCCACCGCCGACCACCGTTGACCACCGCCGCACCGTCGACCGTCGTCGATCACCACTAACCACCATCGATTACCACAAACTAGATGTCATCAGTCAACATTATAATCTGAAAAATATAATCATCATTTCCTTTCTGTGGGACAATGGATTTCTATAATCATCAATTAATAGTAGATTTCCGCAACTGTGTCAGACCCCGTGATTTTTCCTTTACGGGTTTTCCACGGGAAAATTTCTGGAGTCATCACCACTTGTTTCTGTTTCATCTGTGTGTGTGTGCTGAACTTTCGTACAACACTAAGACAATAGTCCGTTACTTTATCACCGTAAATTTTCTAGCACGCATCAAATATTATGGGGGGGGGGGGGGGGGGGGGGGGAATTTTATGAAATATTTTTAGGGCGACTTTGTAAGAAAGGCGGGTTGGCATTATATATAACTTATATCGATTTTTTTTTTCCATGGAATTCCAATTATTGTTTGAGAAAAGGCTACATTTTTTTAATTATGATTAATGAAAGGCGGGTTGGCATTATATATAACTTATATCGATTTTTTTTTTCCATGGAATTCCAATTATTGTTTGAGAAAAGGCTACATTTTTTTAATTATGATTAATAATTCATTTATTTTAGAGAGGGTGAGAGCAACATTTAATTTGTTTAAGTGGACATCATAATTACTCAATATTGCTTTGGGAGGTGTATTTATTTTATATTATATTATAATTATTATGACTTTATTAAATTAAAAGTTTAAGCAATAAGATTAAAGTGGGCGCTGCTTTCTAGTTTGAAGAATCTCATTTATGCTTTGGGTTTCTTAACCGTCCCGTTACAATGCTAATAGTTATGGCTTAACAATTAATTAGTTGAGATATTAAATATTAATTAAAAATGATATTTACTTAAATAATGGGCATAAATTATTGTTAAGGTGATGAAGCATAAATTTGCCGCGGGGACTATTCAAGCAAATTTATTTGTTATGAAAAAGAAAAAAATAATATTAATTTAAATTTATGTCATTATAAAATGATAAATAAAATATATGATTATAAAGATAAATAGTAGAAAATTATGTGATATTAATAAAAAATATAAATTTTTAATCATTTAAAATATTTTATAAATAAAATTTTAAATTTTATTATTATTTAAATGTATTTTATAAAAATATTTATTTGAACAAACTTACTCCAAAGTTAACATATAGCTCAGTTTGCAAGCCACTTCCATCTGAACATGAACCTACTCGTGAGGAGACTTAGGGTCTGTTTGGGGAGGCCTTTGAGCCGCGATGCCGTTTCTAATCGCAAAATTGCGGCATTTGGGTGGCGTCCAAACTACTGCGTGTCACGTTTTTTTGTAAAAATGTGGTTTGCTGATTTGACCATGTGGCCCGCGTTTCTTCTTGTTTTTTTTTACTGAGGTGCCCTCCCCAACATCGCGATATTCATCTACCCCTCCTAAACCACTCCGAATCTCTCGAGTTTTCTTTTGTGCCCCGCTCGTCCTCTTCTTGCATTTGCTCGTCTTCTTTCTCTTCGTTCCTCGACATCTGTGAGGAGGGTTTTTGAACGTTTGCTTCTTTTTTCTGGTATCCTCTATCCCTTATCTTCTCTTAGTGGAATTGATCGGTTAGCCGCATTGGTTTGTACAGAGTTTCTTCGTGGTTTAGCTTGATGAGTTTCTTGTGTTTTTAGTGTAGCACTCATTTTTGATTTTTCTGCTTTTTGAGATTTTTACATTCAATAATGGGACGGTTTAGGCTACTGATGCTTCGGTTTTGATGTTTCAGTTGGAATTTTGTGATGGATTTGAGTGAGAATTTGAGAAGAAGAGGAGGTTTGATGGGGGTTCAATTTCGTCTGATGTTTCAGACTTCTGCATTTGTGATTGGTTTTTTATTGGTATGGTGAGGTGTTGGATTTATTTTTAGGGTGTTGTCTTTCTGGTGAGGTTTGCATCTGTGAATGGTTTTGTTTTTGGTGTGGTATGGTTTTGGCTGTTGTTTCAGAATTTGAGGAAAAGAGCAGGTGTTGGATTTGTTTTTAAGTTAGAATGAAGTGTTATAGTGTGTCGTGATGTTGTGGTGTGGTGATTTGATCTGGTATGTATGTATTTGCCAAAATTATAAGATTTTTATAGTTTTTAATTGCAGAAGTTTCCTTCTTCATATCATGAAAAAAATAAGAGAAGTTGAAAATATTCTTAAAATGAAAGGAAGAGGCCATGGGTAAGCAATAAGTAAGTATATCCAAATTGAAGTTGCATTCAAACTATAAATAGAACTTTGTCACATCATTAGTGTAGTTAAAATTGCATATTGTTAGAATGTGTGGTGCGTCGTGGTGTAGTGGTTTTCAATGTTGTGGTGTTGTGTTTAGGCTACTAATGTGTAGTTTGGTGATGTGGTGTGTGAATTTGGAAGGTTTATAGAGGTGTGGTGGTGTTGCGTGTGGATGTGCTGTTGTGGCGTGTGTGATAGTGTATTGTGTGTGGTGTAGTGGTGTGGAGTTGTGGTTAGGCTATTAATGTGTGGTGTGGTGGTGTGGTGTGTGTAGATATCTGGAAGTGTGGTGGTGTGTATAATGGTGTGGTGGTGTGATGGGGTGCGTGGAAGTGAGGAGTTGTGGTGGAGTGTGTGGAGATGTGGTGGTGTGTGTGCTGGTGTAGTGTGTGGATGTGTTATTGTGATTGGGTGTGTGGAGGGTTTATAGAGGTGTGGTGGTGTGTGTAGATGTGTTGTTGTGGTGTGTTTGATGGTGTGTGGTGTGTGTGGTGTGATTGAGTGTTATGGGATCAGCTCAAGAAGGATTGAAAAAATTGAAAGGAATTGAAACTAGAGGATCAACAGGCCTGGTGTTGGATCCGACGAAGCGAACAATTGATGCTTCATAGGGGTGGCGGGCAAAAAAAATAGCAGCAAGCATTTTTGACATGTCCCTTAATTTGATTAATTTCGTTTTGTTTTAAAATATATGTAAATGTTATATGAAATCTTAGGTGGTGCCTCATACAAAGAAATTTAAATTCAGTGGACTTGATCTTGAGTTTGAGGAGAAGTTGGATCGTATGTGTGGAAGTGTCGTTGCTATGGGCAACAATGCAGGTACTCCCAGTGAGATAGGATTTGGTGGCACCTCCAAAACCTTAGGAGCCGACCAATCGGGTGATTCTGCCAAAGTCCCTAACCCAGGCCTCCATGAACTTGAGTCCATCTGTCGTTCTAAGCTTCCACGGGTTGAGAATAAGAAGAAAGTTGGAGCTGCTTTTCTAAGAAGTCTGATATCACAGCTGGTGGCTTCATGCAGCGCTAAACCCAACACATCTCAAGCAACTTCTGTCGACCAGGTCGTGCAAATTCTGAATGCAACTAGAGAAAACTTTGAGTTGTCGTTGTACTTGTTTGTGATAGATTTGTTTGAAGATCTAACTCGTAGAGATTTTTTCGTCAAGATGCATGATGACCGTAGGGTGGCGTACCTACAATATTATTATAATCACAAGAATATTTGAGTGACTTTTTTTATTTACAATCGCTTGGGATATTTATGTTTGTGTATTATTTTTCATTTTGCTTTGGATATTTCAACTGCTTGAGACATGGCTTATTTAGTGATGCTTATATGTTTATTGTGTTGTTTGTAACATTATATGATTATAACTAATTCATTAATGCTTTTGTGTTAGCCAATACGATGCTGATCTATATGGATGCAAACAGAGAAAGATGCAGAAGAAAAGTTGTAGTTATCGTATGCTTGATATACAAATAATATAACTCATACATAGATCACTCCCCTTGCATGACATCCTAATATGCTGAGGACAAATGGGTTGGGGAGTTGCTTACGGGCCACCAAGTGAGATTTAACAATAAGTTCCACTTGACACGGGCGGTATTCAACGATCTATTGGAGGAACTACACAAAAATCATGGACTTCATGGCTCTTCCAAGACGACTTCGCGAGAGGTGTTGACAATAACCCTCTACATATTATTGCAAAACGAATCAATATAAGGAGCAATGAAGCGATTTCAACACTCTTCTGAAATAATTTGCAGATAGTTCTTAGTTGGATTGAAAGCACTTGTCAGTTTTTCTTCATAAGTCAAAAAACCAACAGATCCTACGTTCGAATGGACCCCCACAGAGATTTCACATGATGCACGTTATATGTCATTCTTTAAGACATTGTCTGAAATTT